TACGATTTACAGTGTATTTTTAAATACATAAAGTAATTAAAAAAAAAAAAATAGTAATTCAATGTAACTGATAGATTGACAAAAAACTATGTTACGTTTACAATGAAGTAGATAAAAAAATTTCCTTGATTCACAATTTTTTTGCTGTCATTCAACTTTCTTCACACATAACTTGTTAATTGAAGCAGTCTCGACAAGTATGCCTAGTTTTTCTTATCCCACCGAAAAAAAAACTTGATATTACCCGATAATTTACACCCGTAATTCTCACCTTCTACGTCAGAAAAAATTCAATCTATAAAAAAAATTCAATTTTTAAACAAATAAATCTTTAATTTAAATCAAATTAAGTATCTTCTCTGAAAAATTTTTTTATGCCTCTAAATTTAAATTTTTAGTACATTAAATATTCATTAAAAAATAATTATCGACCATAAAAAAGGAGTAATAATGGTTATTACTCTAGCTCCACCTATTCCATTTATCGTGGTTGATTTTATATATTATCTGTTCTAAATAACTTATATATAATAATACTGCCACTAAGAAATGCATGAAAATTGAACTAAAAATGAAATCTCTATCTCCTCGGGACAATTTAAATATTTTCAAAAAAAGATCCAGACTGAAAAAAAGGATATAAGATCTCGATTATTGGAAGGAAGAGTTAACTTTAATTACCGATCATATCAATTAAATCAAGAAATGCATGAAAATAATTTGCGAAGATTGTTCTTATCAATTTTCCGAAATGGATATATATATTAAACTGAAGATAAGCTGCGTTGGAGTGCTGTAATATCTGCAAGATCGAGTGGTAAATGTATGGGATGAAATAAATAAAGGTTAATAAAATGTTTGAAACGATTAGCTGAAGGCGGAGACTCTTTCTTGAGTTGTAATGAGAGCGAAAGAGCTATAGCCTAACTGAAGTATATGCTTGAAGCGGGTGCGTAAGTTAGAACGAATTGTTTATATGTCGACGACGTTCAGCAAAGATATGGTGAACACTCGAAGCGAAGCGATAGACCGTGACTTGTGTGAGAGGCGGGCAAGCTGCTTATTAAGTTAGTCTTGCAGATTCTTATAAGCACCCGCGTCGTGCAACCCGCGAATTACGATTCAACGACGTCCCTTGCGACGCTCCAGGTAAAAGTAATAACAGTGAAACGCTCAATATATACATTGCTGATGCTTCAGTATCATTTTTATACACTGCTTTATGGGTAAGAAGTGGTATAAAAGGAACATTTGATTCTGTCTTTCATTTTCTGAGATATTATCGTGAAAAAGTCATAAATTTGTGATAGGAAGTTACTTCATTAATCTCATTGCAAAAAATGTTGGACTTTTTTTAAGGGATTCTTTTTTTTTTAAAGAACTTTTTATAGAGTGATGGCTTTGAATAAATTATAAGATGCTAATGAAGTAACATTTTATGGTTTTTTACAATTTTTGTTGGTAATAAGATATTTATTACTCCATTAGGATTGAAAATTGATTAAAAAAGAAGTAAGTTCTTTCTTCTAACCTTTGATTCTTGAATATTACTTTTTAAAATATAAATAATCGGATAGAAAAATATAATTCAGTCAAATAGAAATTGCAGTAATTTTATTTTTTTACAGTTAAAATCTTCTTAATGATTATTATGGGTTTAAATTTGATTTTATGAGTTCAAAATAAAAAGGAAAGATACTTTTCTGAATTATTTTTATAAAAACTTCCAACGAATCTCATAAACGACAACTCAGAATTCCTACTTAAGACGAGCAAAAGGCAGATTATGTTGTAAAATGTAAATCCAGACTTGTAGCATTGAATAAAATAACTTTTCTTAATTGAAAATAAATTTATGTCTTCTCTCATAATTCCTAAGAAAGCCTACATGTTATCTGCAAAAAAAAACTTCATCTATAATCAAAAAGATTGACTAAAAAATGCCATATGAAAAACCCTTTCTCTCTCCTCCAATCAATTCTTACTAGTATTGTCACCAAGGGAAAATAAGTTTTCAAGATTTACTACGGTCTAAATATTTTTATATCTTTCGAACGACCTACCTTCCCCTCTCTTTCCCCCTTTATTTCTCACAATTTTCTGATGATGTAAAAGATTGACTGATATACTTATAATATCAACCTTAAAAAATGTTGGAGATTATATTAAATGATAAGAAAGATAAGAAGTCCATTGAGACGTTAAAAAGTCTTTAAACTTCTACAATTGTGACGACATCTAAAATTCTCACGTTGCCTCAACTAAGATATGGCCAACTTATCACGGTCTTTATGCCTAATGAAAATGCACATTAATTCATAATGGGCTTTTAAATCTGCAAAGAATAAATAAAACTTTTCTTTTAAATTAATTCATTTAAATTCTTACCTTTTCACTGTCATTGTGATTATTTTACAATTGAAAAAATCTTCAAGTCTGCTTGATTTTTAATTCAGTGCATTTCTATGCTTGATAAAGGAAAAAAGGAAAAAAAAACGATATTCTATTCATTTTCGCGAAATAACAGTGAATAATCTTTCTTGAATACTTGAAAATTAAGTCGTTTTAATAAGGATACAGCTTTATTGTTTTATTTCTCATTTCATTTCTATATTTATCGTGTTATTATTTTTTCAAATGCACCAAGTTCTGCTTTGAATAACTCTTTCTCTGTTTTACCTAATATTAAGATCACAAAGTTTTGGAGCAAATCCGACAACCACATTGCAAGAAATCCCTGGGTCCACCTTAACAACCTTAAGTTACTTTTTTTTTCTTTTTTGTTACAGATTTCATCCTAATCTCAGATCTAGCTGGTAGTTCACCGATATCTAGACCACAGCGAGCAGAGTAGTAATGGAAAGACTGAATCCAGGTACATGCGCACCCGTTGGATACTTTGTCGAGTGGGATGGTCTCAATGGTGACATTACGTGGTCCACATTAGGACTTTGAGACTCGTATAAATGTGCTATATGTAACAGACGGGTCTCTTATGTCGATACGCCCTCGAAATGCTGGAATTGAGATTCCCTACATTTCGATCGAATCTATATTTTCCAGACTTTTATACACATAAAATGAGATCAAAGCCTTTAAGAGTCCTTTCTGTATTTCTGTACCGGAAAAAAATTTCATTTCAAATTGAACATATATTTTACTGATCTCTAATGCTATCATTTTTGCTTTCTCTGAGATTATTGATAAATGAGGTAGAGCAGATATACCGACCTAGTGTGCAATGGAGATATACTTTTACGTGGCTAGTGTGTTTTAAAAACAAACTTTGGATCGTGTAAACGAATTGTAAAGATAGACCTCTGAGCAAACGTGGAAAATGTATATTCATGGGCACCATTCGAGCTGGCGAGTCTCATCTCGTTATACATTTCAAGTAACACACGGTTTTTAGACGATACTGCTAATAAAAATAGACACTCAATCATTTTAAAAAGGTTTTGGGGATTTTCGTTTTGTTTTTTTTTTGAAGTTACATTTTTTTATGGTTCTTGATATTGTTTGGTTTGAAGCAATAGAGAAACAGGTTTTAAATGCAGTTGAGGTCATTTTTATTTTGATTTATGCATCGTGTTTGGATTAATATGCAAGACTCTTTATGTAAGTTAAAAAATCAATCTGAGTGGAAAATTGCAGTATTATTTGAATGACGACGTTATTAAATATGAATCGTTGGGTAATCTTTTCAATGTCCTATTAACTTTTTTTTTAAAAATATGTTTAGAAAAATTGTAAATGAAAATATTCAAAATAATATTTATTCAAAATTGAATTTAATTAACCAAAAAATTTATTATCTAACGATTCCATGAATTTTTAAGATTAATTAATAATTCCTTCCACTTTATTTTCTCATTTTTAATAAAAAATTTCTTATTCATACGCGAAAGACTACTCTAGTACCGCGATAAAGAAGTGCCTGAAAAATTATGACTTTTATTAAATGTAAAAATGCATAAAATTCCAATTTTTACCAAAGTACGAGATCGTGCCTTGCTCCAGGAAATATATCCCAAATTACACTCATGCTCTATATTTAACTCAAACTTTCAAACAATACTCAATTTTTTTCAGCTAATCTCCAAGCTAATAATTAAAAATTTTTAACTCCACCTTATGACTTCGTTAATCCCTTCATCCTCTTTTTTCCTAATTCGCTAATAAATATTTTTCACATATACCCAATAATATTTTAATAGCTAATTAACTTTTTAGGAAGTTTCCACAATACAATTACGGTCGTTAACTTCAAACGACAATGTCTGACCAAAAGTCCATACCTACTTAGACTTTTTCTTCGATACAAAGAGCTCTCGGGAAAAATCAATAGTTATCGCGAAGGTTTAACTCGAGGTAAGGAACTTGAAAAGTGTTGTGAATGATCAAGTATTGTAGTAGAGCAGTCGTAACCATCGCCATTCTTCTTGAGCTTTCATCGGCAATCTTGTCTTGTTCGTTTTTATTCAAGACTTCTTTTATTATAAATTCACCATAGATTCGTTTCTCTATAACATTTTCCACGTGCACTCGACGTCCATTTTCTACGATCATTCAGTCTGGATAATATATGAGGTTATAAAGCGCCAAAAAGGTAGCTTAGTTTGATCGCTCTACAAGTTTGAACTGTTCGCGTTACCGTATTAATGCTTCGCTGCATTGTAAAGTTGCTGGTTGCAAGAGGATATAGAGCTTTTATCGATTTCATACTCAAAATTCTGTTCATATCTATATATATTTCTATACCCTTTGTATATTTTTTGTATTTATTCAATGAACATTTATAATCCCCATCGAATAAGGTTTCGAAATAAAATCTAGCAGATTATTATATATCGAAATTTCTATATTGCCAATGTGGGTTATTATGATGTAAATGAAATTTATCTCTCTATTCAAAATATTATTTGATAAAAATATTTCGTTTCATTATATATATTTTTTTTGTTAGGAAATAAATAAATTTAGCGTAAAGTAGTACTTACGTGTGATCTTTCAGTACTGTTTCTATTTTATTTGTTATGATATTCCATATAAAAACTGATCCATCCGCTGACCCGACTGCGATATACTGACCGTCTGGACTAAATGTAGCTCGCGCCCAGTCACAGCCTACTTTAAATTCATCCGCACTGCAAAAAGCCAGAAAAAAGGATATATTATAGTTAATGCAACATAATATATGTATGTCTGTGTGTGTGTTTTTGTTGGAAGTGAAGAAAGAAGTGAATTAAAGAGAGTTTTTTAGGAGTTACAGTTATGTATTTTGGCGTACAATTAGAATTACTTCTCAGTAGGGAAGAAGTTTATTAATATCCTATAGAGAATAAAATTATGTAAAGGCATTTTAATAGTAGCTTAGTTGTTGGAGTATTCAATATTTTTATAAAGTTTTCCTCATGGGAATAATTAAATAATTATTAGAAAAAAATTTTTATTTTCGGTATGAAAATGATTTTTTTATAAAATTCTTTTTGGCAGAAAATTGAATGCAATGTTTTTTTTTTTTAAAGTAAAAACGTGTTATATAGTGTAAAACATTCTAATTAATTATAATTCAAATATATATAATAAACTTGTTATTCAGAAGGTAGAAGATAGAAAAAACATTGAACAAAAATATGCTTAACAATTTAATTTCAGCTCGAACAAAATTCTATTTAAAAATATTTTTAGTTTATTATTTTTAGATGAATTATTTGAAATTTTTTTTCAACCAGAGAAAAATAAATATTATAGTCAAATAAAAAGAGAATAATTTTTAACCTGATGTAGATTGAATTAAAATATGATACAAAGTAATATTCTCTACTATAGAAGTATAGTTAATCCTTATAACATTATGGAGCTCATTTTCTATTTTTGCATACAAAAGAAATTTAATCAATAAAATTTTCAAACTAATTTTCACATATTAGGAACCTTCGTAAAGCAAAAATGATTATTTACAAAGGAAATTTAATTTAAAGCTTATCGATCATGTTGATAAAAAAGTTTGAAACCATGTTTTTTTTTAGATTTTTTTTTTTTTTATAAAAATAATTTTTCATTCAATACTTTCCCTTTGACAAATATTGAACTTTACAATATTATATAAAATAATAATTCATTTTAAAAATAAAATTTTTTCTTTAAAGTTTCCAGTTTATTTTTGTATTTTTATATTTAATCATTTTCTGATAAATGAACCGTTGAAATGATTAAACGATAATGATTATTAAAAAATAAAATAACATTAATATAAAAAATACTGAAAGACTAAATTAACCCAAGTTAGCATTAAATTTAACTATAAACCAATCATTAACACTCATAAAAATTTTTTTATCACTCATACTTACCTAAATGATCCAACAATTTGTTTCATACGAAGATCTAGTAATTTAACTGTATCGTCTCGCACACAGCTTAACAAATAATTGGCATCTGAAAAGGAAAAAAGCGTGAAATATTGTTAATTATGTTAGCATAATAGACGATTTTATTGGAATTCAATTGAAATACCGGTTGGAGGATGGTGTAATTATTTATGAAAGGTCAATAGCCAATCTAGTATTTCTTATATCCTTACATTATAAGTTGCCGTCCTGTGATCCATCTTAATTACGTCTATTATTATTCAACTTTTTCAACGCCATGTAAATTGAATCTACGTCTACATATTTAATCATTCATTCCATTGGCATGTCGACAGAATAGACATCATGCACGCCATGAAAACAATATCTCAAATTTGAAATTGGACACTTGATTCAAAATAGACAAATCCTAAATGGGCTCACGGGTATGCTCCAATGTGATATCTCCACAAGGCGCAATTACGTCAAGTTGGAAATAAAATACTTCTGGGAATGGTGCTCGCTGAGCTGCCTAATAAAATATAGGTACTTCTATCGTGGTTAATGTGAATGTACCAACAGGAAAATGTTAGAAGATGTACAGTATTTTGTAGAGCTTAAAGTAATCCTTTCATAAAGCTAATTTTTTTTCTATGCTACAAGACGTACTTATATTTTTCAAAATTAAAATTGCATTCTACTGAAATTAAATGATACAACTGTATACTTTTATTCTTGAGAATAATGTCGAAATTCATTTTGAAACTATTTACAACAATTATTCATAATTTTATTGATTTAAAATATTTATAATAGTATTCAAAATTGAGTTTAATATTTTATTCTAATAAAGACTGAAAGTCTATTTTAGTACAAAGCGATTTAATTGTTGTAAAAGATTAATTATGATAAAAATAATTGCAAACAGAAAAAAATAAATAAAATTCAGCATTTGATTTTATACAATTTTATATTTTAAATTACGAAGAGAATTTAATATGTTTAAACTGTGACGAAAACTTTGTTTGTTGATTATTGATTTTATTTTGAAATTGAGTTACATTGAGATAGGTTAAAAAATTTTAGGAAGTAAACGAAAAAAATATTCCTTTTCATTTTTTTTTATTAGAAAGCTCAAAGACTTTTGTTAGTAAGGAAATTTTTGGTCAATCCAAGTGTATCATTTGAAGAATTTTATTTTTTACTTTCAAATCCTTTTGAAGATTTTTTTCAATATTTTTTTTTCAGGCGTTTTGTAAGCTATCGAAGTCAAAAGCTTCACTTCTAGCTTTGAGCTTTTGAAAGTCCCAAAAAATAGCTGCATGGTAATCGCTTGAAATGTATCCGAAAGTCCAAAGTGTCATATTTAAAATGCATTTACTAAACTTGCAAAAAAAAAAAATTCAAAGTATTTTATTTTTCTATTGCAATTGAATCAAATCTTTTTTTTCTCAAAACAAAAACATAATAAAATTTTTATTTTAAATAAATAATATTTTATCAACAAAATCAACTTGAATATAATTAAAAAATTAAAGTTTTTAATGGCCTATCAAAGCAAAAATTGAATCTTCTATTTAAAACAATAAATAATAAATCTCAAAAGCGTTTCCTTATGATAATTCAAGCAAATATTTCACCGTTTGAATTTTCGAGAGTAAATTTTTTTCAAGACAAGGTTTATCATATTTCACCATTTTTGATTGAATAAAAAAGCTTTTATACTCTTGAAAAGTCATAATGTAATCTTTGATGGTTTACTCTGACAGAAGAATTACTTTAAAGAGCTTAAAAGTATAAAGAATAGAATATAAGAAGTTACCTCTTGATAAATCAAGTGAAGTTATTTTCCCTTGTAGTTCAATGTCATTGGAACTAGATTCAGCTCGAGTATCCCAGAATCGGATTCTCTTGTCAAAGTGACCACTGATTATGGTAGAGCCTGCGCCGTCTGATGTGACGAGGTCATTGCAGCTTGATCCAGCAAATTTGGTCTCAATACCTGGTGAGTAGCAAACAAAAATACTATTATGGTATTGCCTTTGACGTTTGTACGTTGAGGTCATGAGGCAACGAACTTTAAACTGTTCTCAGGTTACCAAGCTGCCTTCGAAAACCGCAACGCCTGCGGAAATGTGTAGCTTACATATGGTAGAGACTATAAACTGGATAAATAATGAGATTTTCGCTTACGCCCACCCTGTGTCGTGCCATCTCGACTCGCCGACCAATTTCGATTTTCCTCCCATCGAATCTCTACACACATAGGTACGCATATACCTCTTCTGATCTTACGTTCTTTTCAATTCATACTATTCTTTATTTTACTACCCCAACATTTCAATCAACTTTATGGCTTTACAAAACGAAAAAACCTCATAATCTTACGATGAAAAAAATTTGCGGTAACTAATAAATATCTACAAAATAAAATATTGCAAAATGTTTCATTAATTTTTTCTATCGATTCTTTGTTATTGGCAAACAATAATCGAAAGTAGAATTCAAAGAATAGACAACTTTATTTTTTTTTTTTAAACAGAATTCAGTAATGACGTCATTGTTGCCATATTTTTTATTATTGACACTGTTTGAATGAATGTTTAATTAGAGAAAAAGAGATCATAAAAAAATTTTTTTTAAAAGAATAAACTACTCTGGTTTGAACGTATTCAAAAGCAACGATAGAAATCGTATCGAAAAGAAGTGTATTTATTCTATAAGGGTCATTTCAAAATTTCTAAGGAATTTGAAAGAATTTTGTGTCGAGTGTATTTCGCGAATTTATCTAGGTCATCAAACAAAAAAAACTTAATTGATTCATTGAGTGATTACAATTTTTGTGTTTAGAATTTTATATGAATTCATTTAGGTCAGGTAGTGAAAAAGAAATTTCGGAACAATAATGAAGGATTAAGGTAATAAATCTGTCGGGATTGATAGCATCGCTTGGATGTTTTACGTAGAAAATATCTCGAATGAATAGGATTATATTAGTTCGAAACATTCGTGAACAAAAATGACTGTGTATAACATTCTACTTAGCATATTTCTAACATGTAAAATAATTAATACATAGGCATTTATTTTTTTATGTAAAAAATAGAAGTAATCGTTTATAAAACTGAGCCGTTGTTACATCTAAATTTTTCTGAGGAAAAACAAACTTTAATAATTGTGGAGGAGCAGTTGAGTGAACTCTACCAGAAAAAAACAAAGTTTATAATTTTTTCAGGGCTACTGGAATTTTTTTACTGGTACTAATGATGATAAAAAGAAGGTAAATTTTGCCCAAAAAAATTTTGGACAGATGAGATTTGCAGTTTAATCTTCTTCTTCTTCTAAACAAGTGTCTCAGAATATAATTTTTTTTTTTTGTATAATTCATTAGTTCACTGTGAATTATTTTTGGTAATAATATATGCTTCAAATATTTTATATCAAGTGCAAGGAATAAAAAATAATTGTGTAATAAATCAATTTTCCATCATTATTTTTAAGGTCAATGTAACTTCTCTGGATAATAAATCATTAAAAAGAGTCAAGTTCCGTCTAAAACTAAGGTTTAAATTTTTTTAGATTCTTCAACTGGAGTCTTCCTCCATTAAATTATTATTGATAATAATTTTCAACTTTCCATTAGGAAGTTATTGTAATGACATCTATTTTTGAAATGTAAAATTTTATCATACTTTTTATGTTTTAGAACATTTGAAAGCATACTCAAAAATTTTTTATTTATTTACGTGGAGTATTTTTATAGAAAAGTTATTGTTGATACACTGTTAGAGAATAATTTTTTTACCAGAAAGTATAACAATGAAAATATAATATTAAAATACTACTGTAAAGAATCATGCAATAAACATGAACTATTACACATTATAAACATAACATTTAAAAGTCATTAGAGTCATCTAGTAATTGTAACAAAAAAAATATAGCAGTTGAGGTTAAATACTATATGTTCTATAATAGTGAGATAATTAATGAGAATTAATAATAATATAAAAAAGAATTATGAGAAACATTGAATAATTATTAGCAATACTTTTCATAATTGATTTTTAATGATGAATTGTATATCGTAGTAATACGTAAAAAATTATTATAAAAAATAAAAAATGTATTAGATATCAATAAATATTCTATTTTATTCATTTCATTCATCTCAATCCAGAAACTTTATCCTTTCATTTTCTGACAACTTTATTTTCATATATGATTCCAAATTAATTAATTATTTCAACGAATCCCTATAGAAGTTTTCACAATTTAATAAATGAATTGAATTAAAACGTGTCGATGTGGTAATACTCACTAAATTTGATTGCATTGAATTGAACTGCTATTTCATTCAATCTCAAGAAACCATTGCAATGTCCTTTCAAATAAACGGTATTCATATATCTAAACTACAATAAATAATGTCTCCACCGAATATAAGTACCACTACTGAAAATTATTAGAATATCATTTTTATAAAAATGGGGGAAAAAATATTATATTTATAGTAAAAAAAATGTATAAATAAAAATAATTTTGTTTCTATTAAAAATGTAATTTAAGGCCATTAAAAAAGCAACAATTGAGATTTTTATCATATTTCACGGAAATAATCTAGTTATTGTACATTTTCCATTTCCATCATGGCTATAATGTGATTTCATTTTATGAGATATGATAGAAGTTGGTGAAATTTGATGTTATATATTTGCATTTAATCAGCGAGTCATACTGTTCAGATGTAATCGTAGATAATACCTAAGAATATATTAGAAATTTGCTCTATTAAATTGCTTTCATACATTACACACGAGTAGTAAGGACGGAATATTCTCATTCATATAACACTCATAGTTGAAATGATAGAAATAAAGAGAAAGGGTAAGTTCAAAAGACGACCAAAAAATGTTGAAAAAAAAACAATTGATAATAATCTGTATATGTACTATACCACCGAGAAGCTGAGTCAGTCAATTGTGAATGCATTAATATTTTTATCTAATTTTATTTTCATCCGAGAAAATTCTAATGACAGAGCACGAAGGTGTATCGGTCGTTAGAGCCTCGTATACGTTCGTGGGTACGATCACATTGCAAGCCCGAATGAAGCGATTTTGTACCCTTGGGGCTTGAAAGAATAGCGGAAAATATGAAATAACCAAGCAGCGACGATGTAGTCTCTATGGGCGGGGAAATTACGCTTGAAACTTAATTCCGATATTCAGTCATGTTTTGTACTTTGCCTGCAAGCGAAAAAAATTTTTATAAAACATGCATATATATAAACACAAATAAAACAAAACTTTGAGTGTTGAAATGAATGAAAAAGTCAACCAAAGTTAATATTAATGCACGAAAAATACATGGAGAATTATCATTCCGTGTCACTCTAGTGTGTCAGAATGGCCACCAAGGATTATAGTTAATAGAAGAATAATAGAGGAGGATTTTGAAAATATTACGTTAATAACAGAGATGTACTACTTTAAAGAGATGCCACTGTTATCTTTATAGTTTATTTTTGATGTGACTAGTAATTTATTCACATAATAACATCAGCCAGTATTGGATGGAAATTGGTATAGCTTTGGATAACCTAATTTTCATCAAATAATTACAAAAAAATTAGATCTTTACTGAAAGACTTTTTAAATCCGGTGTTTTATTTTTTATTCATCCTTGATGAGTAAATTTTCAGTCTATTCTATTGATGCTAATTCACTTTTATGTTCATTTTCAGTCGTATCATGTGTTTAAAGTGTTTTCTTTTGTGTAATATAGTTATGAAGTTAATTAGTTGTTTGATGTCAATAATATGAGTAACTCAAAAGGCAGTAACATTGAAAAGCTGTTTTAACTTTCTGAAACTTTCCCATTAGAAGTGTAACATACCCAATTTCTGTAAAATTAACATTTAAATGTGTCATAGAGCAAATGATAAATATTGTAGAGACCCATTTATTGACAGAAAATTCAAAACTCATATTACAAATCAACATGAAATATAATATTCACTAGAAAGTTGGAATTATTTAACGAAAGTATTTATTTTTCCAGCATTGAAAAGTGTATTGAAGGAAGTAAATTGGAATTTGATTGGATCCACTTGGCTTCAGCACTCTTACAATACCAATCATGATTATCATCATTATTATAATCATCAAAAATAAATGAAGTAAATCGAATGGATGATGTTACATATAATCCACACTCTGGCTTCAAATTACAACAGGCTATAAAATGAATTTTTCGCGCCTGGCACCCTCATATAGAAGATAGGGGCGTTGAGCTCAGTGAGATTGAGTTTTTTTTTCTAGAACGCAAACCCTTATCTCTCCCAGGGCGCACCGGGCAGAAATGCCCGTAGATTTTACCACTTTGGACGGAAATTAGATGTGCTAGAACTTATGAAAGCACTGCAGAGAACAAGTCAAACTGCAAAAGGTAAATTCGATGTAGCCAGTTGCTGCAGACCGGCTTCATTCAATTGAAGAAGGAATGGTGGAAGCACAAGTAGCTGAAGCTTCCTAACAGTGGGCTCTTGAGATCCAAATTCTCTCTCGCAAATTAATACCATCTAGCAGATTCTCATTGGCCTTCTCGAATCTGTGTATACCAGTATCTTGTGTCAATAGGGAGTAGTAGTCGCGCTATCATCCTCTTGGTTGCTACGTCCCTCTTATCCCTACCAAGAGACTCCTCATCTCTTCCCCCTGGTGGTGGTACTGGTCCGTTGTCCAAAGTGCAAATCGATATCTTGAGTCGCTCTTCGGATACCGTTTCAGGAGATTAGGTAGTCTGAAGGACTAGGGTGTAAATCTCTAGATATACATTTTCCTTTCAATAAGAGATAAAACTACCCTTATGTTATTTTTTATTATTTTCCATTTTCCAATTTTATTCCTCATAGAAATCGTAATATTATTGTATGTGCAAGCAGCCCGATAGCTTTTCAAAAGATTTGAAAATTTCATCCAACAATTGCATTGAATAGAGTGACGTTGATTAGCATGTTTAGTGCGGATTTCAATAGCGGAGAATGGGATGCTGTTGTCGATGCAATTAACCTATCGCCACGAGGGAGAGACAAAGACAGGACATAATAGACGATCGTCGACTGACAGCCAAGAGACACGACAAATAGGTTACCGCCGTACAATATATACCTAATGAAAAGTGCAGCTTGCTTTCGAAAAGACAGTTAAAAATTTCTCGCTTTACAAAGTCACTAAGTGATGGCCTTTCAAATGTCTCATATCTCTTTGGAGCAATTTTATTTAGTCGATTATTATTTACTCATTAAGTCTTATTATTATATTTGCATTTTATGCTTGAAATAATACCTCCCAGGTAAATGAGAAATTTGCAAAAATTTTACATCAAAAAATTAACATTTTCAATTATCATATTATCATTTTTGCATTTATATCGTATTTTATTTTACAAAAAGTATTTTAATGCAACAATTGGAAATGTGGTATTGTTTTTATTATATTGTCGAATAAATTGTTCATGGAAATTATTATTATGCAGCACATGTTACTTATTGTTGATTAATTGAATTAAGTATGGAAATACTGCTCCCTGGAGTGCATGATCCACATATCAAAACTTACCAGACATGCAAAAAGTTCAACAAAAGAACTAATTTAACCAATTTCTGCTCAACTTTTGTTTACTCATAAAAGCTTACATTAGTTACACGTTCATTTTTTACCAATTAACGTTATATTCAATGTATTTAAATTGATAGATTGTTCATTGAATTCAATTCATTACATGAATATAACTATCCCAGTTAATTATATTTTAAATGTACTGTTTTATTGATAATTATAATTTGGTAATTATATGAATTAGCAAGCTCTGGAAACTCCTTCATTCAAAAAAAAAAAAAAAGTATATCCTGTAGCTGATAAAAAGTTCTTTTAGTGTCGAAAATTTAGAGTACAAAACATTTTTCGATAAAAAAAAATGTCAAAGGCCTTTATACCCCTGGGTGCTATTATGCCTTAAACTCTACTATCAATAGCAATTTAAAGCACGATAAAATTTTTATTTATACATTTTTTTCGAATTGTACATCTTTTTATTTCATAACATAAAGCTTTTTCTTTCAATAATTAACAGTATAAACTTTCTGTGAAGTTAATCGATATTAGTTTCATAATATTTGACTTTTATTAAGTATAGTGAATTTAAAAAAAATGTTTTTGATAAAATCATCCTAAACTTAAACGAGAGATTATCTATCGTAGATTTATTTTGATATTTTTACTACTTTTTTTAAAATTACTTAAATACTCTGACTGAAACAAATTCAAATGGCAGAACAAAAAAAAATAAATAAAAAATCGAAACCCCACTACAACTTTATACAAAATAAATAAAAACATTAAATGTTTTTTTATCGTCGTTATGTAATGTTACATCATTATTGAGACTTGGTGAATAAAACGTCGCTCATGACCATAAAAATTCCACAGAAAAAAGAATCACACCAACATGATGTAATCATTAAATAAGAGCATAGCCAGGATGCAGTTTTTTTTGCAAGTGGCAAGCGCCGTAAAAAGCAACCCCTATAACTCGTGGGCCTTTTTTTTTCATCGTAAAATCTCAAAATAAATTTTCGTGGACTTTAAGGAGCAGACGTGAGTCATAATCACTTAGGCAGACATATCTGTATATTATCAACATCAGCACACTTTTCACTTAAAGATCATAGTACTTGGTAGTTTATAGACCGTTAGGATGTACCATAGAATATACATATGAATGACTATGCAAATACGCACTGTTTTATTATCACAAAACGCCTCATGGTAAGTGCGTTGCATAAAATGCACCGACTAATAGAGGTAATAGAAAACGTGATTACGACGGCGCCATAATATTTCGCGTGGCCTACGAATAAGTTGAGATTTACGAGACTCGGTAAGATATACGTATATTCAGCTCGTTTATAATGTGAACGCAGCTTTTCATTACACCAGTCGACCTTTGATAGAGCTCATTGTAATAAGAAATGAAGAAATAAAAAGTGTAGAAGGTGATAATAAAGGGATGGGAATAAAAAAATAAATAAATTCATAAGTTATGATAGTGAATTATGACTTACATGCGCGACTGCGTAAATCCCAGATTTTTAACGTACGATCATGACTGCCGGTGACGACTTTAGATGGTTCTCCAAGGAACTTGGCTGCCAAGACTTTCGCACAGTGTCCTGTGAGGGTATGCTGTAACAGAAAGAGGAATGCACGTTTTTCAACATTAGCTCGTAATAACAAGTGATCTTGGTCTCGTTAATGTTAAAGCGAAATAATAGCTTTGTGAGAAACATAAAAACTGCATTGCGCAACTTAGTAAATTGTAATTGACTACGTCAAGTATACGAGCCATGGAAAGTTTTATGAGCTCATTGAACTTGGCAGAATTCTCCTCACGACAAAAATTAAATTGAGACAACGCAGGATGAAATTAACCAACAAGTGGTCGATTCCCAGAAGGGACATTCGTATAAGAAGAATAAGTCGATTCTACTCTAGTGAGGCCTCTCGTATTCTGATCTAGCTTCACCGTGCTAACTTTTCAGGCACGATTCGTTAGTTTCTGCCAGTTAGAAAAGTTGCTTTTTTTACCAACTACCATGCAGTTCAAACTTTTATCTTTCACTCCACCCACTTGTCTCTGCTTTGAAGACGTGGTCAAAATAATAGATGAGCAATCGCCGCAGGTTCTTTTCATTGCTTACGTTATTCATATTTTATTTATTTTAATCGAATAATTGTTATCGATAACTCCAAGTCTTTTTAAACTTTTCCCTCTTTGGTGAAATTCCTTTTTATCTTTTCCATCGCACCGGAAGTTTTTAAATTTAATTCCATTTTATTGTTAAATTTTCTTCCAACAAGTCCTCGAAAATTATTATGTCGATTATTCCTATCTGCATTATAGAAGTAAATGGTGAAAAAAAAAAATTGACTTCACCTCTTTTTAAGTACGCGAAGGATAAAGGATATCGATCAAAGTCTTTTAATAATTGGAGTAATTTTTATTGTGAACTATAAATCATCAATAAGGTATAGGAGAAGGAACAGGAAAGAAGTTGAAGGAAAAAAAAGGGATGAAAAATTAAAACGTAAAGCTTAGAATAAATTGTAGAGTTAAGTCATATAGCATTTTTCTTAATTAAAAAGTATCATCTCTATTCATCCTAGTATATTTTTCTCAATTTTGACTGCTAATAAAAAACAATTCACTATATACTATTCAATCCTCATATTTTCTCACAGTAAACTTGTTCGCAATTAAGAAGTTAACTCAAATTATTGTAGAAAAAGTATTTCGTATTTATTTTTCTCACATTTTTATTTCTCTTTAAAGTCTTCCCTTGAACTCAATAATATTTTCCTGGAATAAAAGAAACTACTTTTGTTTGAAATATCAAATAAAAAGGAAATAGTGAATGAATAATAAATTAAAATTATACTTTCCGATATCCACAAGGAATATTGATAGAAAAAGAAAACCTTTAATGAATGATAAAAAGACAACAAATTTATTATAAAGACTAAATCAAAAACTGAAGAAAATTAAACAAAGTTTCAAAAAAAAAGACTAATGAGTTTTAGAATTTTAGATGCACAATAATAGTTAATTTAGGTTAGTGATAGTTTTGAAGAGGTTTAGGAAATTAATTCAAGAGAATTAAAATGAGACTGGAGATCTTAAAAAACTAATTGTGCGAAGAAAAATATTTTAATGGATCGATGAATGAGTTAACAGTGAAACTAAACAATGGAGAATTTCAATGAAATAGTTTATTCATTCAAAGAATTTATTAGAACAATTATTTAATTGAAGAGTCTCGTGAGGATTATCGCAGCTGATTAAGGATAGGTTTGCATCTGGGTAATCACTTAAAGAGCTTAAATAAACACGGATTTAAGAATAATTTCTTAACTGTATTCTATGCTGATGGATAATGAGTTTGTATGAGAAGTACAACACTGAAGAAAAATTGATTTTTAATGGAAAATAAATATTTTTAACGACTAAGGATGTAGTTGAATCTTCATTCTTCTTTAGCTTTATAATATAAGATTTGATCATCATAGAAATAATTAATTTTATCTCGTGAAATATTTAAATTATCATTTAAGAAAAAATTTTTAACAAGAAAAAATGAAGATAAAAAATTGAAATTTTTTGGTTTTAGTATTTATCATCAATAAATTATATTGAGGACGTTATAGGTTTATTGATAATTGATAAGTAATATTATTAATGAGCTAAATAATTGATCAAGATCTCATTTTTAATCTGGATTATTGAAATAAATGAATTAATTTATTTATTCATAACTTTTTATTAAATGTAATTGAATGTAGTTTTATTTTATAAGAAATAAAATTCGGAATGAATGATTATTTAATAAAAAACCAATTTTTCAATATCATTTCAAAGTATGATTTATCACCAAGACTACTGGTCGGTGCAAATAAAATCTCTAGAATATCGTGTTAACTGCTCTAGAATTTTTCATTCACTATTATAAATACGTAACTCAGAAGAAAAAATGAAGAAGAAAGTATTTCACTTGTGTAATTCTTGAGTGAGTTAATTAAAATTAATGGACACAATTCCCTGATGTACTTGGAAACTGTCGATAACTGAAGATATTCAAGTTACAGATACTTCTGATCTTTGAATTTTTCATAAGAATGTGTTAAAAGCTAGTAAATCAAGGCGCAACTTTCATATTACTATGGCGAATCCAATCTCTTTCCGTTTTTCTCAGCAACTACCGTACTACTCCATTTCACCTTCAACTGCAGTATCAAAAGAAGAAGAAGAAAAAATGAGGCAGCGCTAGGGAGGTGGAGATGTAGGTGTAGGAGGAGAACGAGATGTAGGGTAGAGAGAGAGAGAGAGAGAGGGAGAGGGAAGAATAAAATAAAAAAGAAGCTTCATCCACCTACTCGAACCTTAGAGTAGTTACGGATGTTAAGTAAAGCACGGAAGAGTGTTTTTTCTTTTGAAAAACCTTCTAATGAAAATTAATGACTTGAAAGTTTTACCAGAGCACTGCATCTTAGCTCTGATGCATATGGCTACGAAGAAGACCATGTGGCTAATCTGTTTAACTTTAGCGAGAATAAAATTTCCGTATTTTATATATATCGGTATCTGTGAATGAATAAAACTCTCAAATTGTGTGTATGAATAATGAACTTGTTGTTAAAGTTGATGATAAGTTGGGTAAAAGTTGGATAAAGCTCCTAGGTAATAGGATGTAGTACAAGATATTATGTATTTAACATGTGTATTTCACGAGTTCGATTCATGGCTGTAATTGGCCATGTGCCATGCTAACACTATCTGTTGCTTGTTTCTCTGTTTTATATGTCGAATACCAGAGATAAGAATTGGATTTGAAATGAGAAATTCTTAATATCTAGAGTATTTCAATTCCTCGTCAGCTATTTTACATTCAGACTACAGCAAGATAACTCTGAAAGATATGAGTGTTGAATATACTTTTATAACATACGATCTTCTTGTCTTGTCGTTTTATGAAAAAATTCATACACCCAAGTAATAAGTAATAATAAATTATTACTACTAATATCATCAAGAAGCCAAGCTTGCTCTTAATCCGGAAGTATTACCAGCGTAAATAAAGATTATCATCATCGTCATCATGATTTCAATGAAATTCAAAGTCATATCCTATTCAAATAAAATTTTTTTAGTCTCCAACTTAAAGAGTTGATGTAAGGTTGTATAAATAATTTGATAGCAGATGAAAAGTTAGTCAAAACAAAAGTGCATTAGTACATTAATTATGTAAAGGAAGTAAATAGAGAAATAAGTACAAATAGAGATGAGGTAGGCAGAGTGTACGAAAGGGGAAGTAAGATAAAGTTGAATGGTATAAGTAAATCCATAGACATTAGTTATTTAGTGAGAGTGGTAGAAGCTGATGCTGAGTATCTTTTCCGGATGGGGTAGAGTCAATCGATCTTAGGAAGAGGGCGAAGGTTCTTGGATTCTCTTCTCATGCAAGTTTGGTTGGTTGGTGTGGTGGCTCGGTGTATAAGAGAGCTGCTGGTATATCTGCTGGTATAGCTATATAGAGTGTACTGTAAGTTTGCAAATGGGGATGGTTGGCGCACGAGTGGACTAACGCGACTATGCGAGCAAGCAAGTAAGCGTGCGAATAGGCAGGTATGCTTTCAACTACCATATAGTAGGATAGTAGTAAGTACAGTATAAAGTAAATGGGTGGTAGTAGTACCACTAACGCAGTAGACTACAGAATCGGCGTGCTCCCAAAGTTCATTGGCCGCGGTGCGACTTTTCTACCGCCACTCTTTCACGGCCTTGGCGATTCAATGCCCGCACCAGATAACTCGCTACTCCCTCCAGATAATAGATTATTTCATACATGTAGTAACTAGTCGGCTGGCACACCACTGCCAGTTCTCTGTACTATGCTTCTGTTATTGCTTCTGCTATACCTCGTTATCTATGTGTGCTAGCTGTGAGCATACGCAAAAGATCTGCACCAGAAACCATGTCTCATTATCTATCGATTATACGACACTAAATAATCTTTCTTCTTCTTTTTACCCCTTCAATACTACATACTTTCGCTTCATATACACTTGCAAGTATTATAATATGCTTTAATTTATCAATCCATTTTTATTGTGACGGATATTAGCTATCATTTATTATTTATCATCTATATAGAATAAATTTTATATAATAGATTAAAACTATAAGGTGTAATTAATAGAGTTAGACGCTAAGACAGGGATAAATGATTGGGTCAAGTTTATCCTGATAACTTTAATCGCCCAGACGAGGGTGTACATTTCTAACATGGTGACTTTTGATATTTCTCTATTAAAAAGATCATGTTTTTTCGTTTGTTTACCTTAAGATTAATTGTGCTATGTATTTATGACATTTCTATTAATAATCATCCTATTGGAACTTTCTGTGGTTAATAACTTATTGTATTAATCATTTCGAAAATTACTATGGTGATGCTCAAATTATCATTCACATCAAAATATATTTTTTTTCATATAAATAAGTGATATGAAAATGTAATTTGTTAGTTGTCATATTAAAATTAATAATAACCTAATGTATATTTGATATTTCAATGCATTTCATTATTCAAAATTAACTGATAATAAAAAATAATCAAGCATGTAATGAT